CGAGCGGCACGAGGCGACTGTCGGGATGTACTCGGACTACTGCTTCCAAAGCATACTCGCGCGAGACTTCCTCGGCGCCTCGCACGAGGACCTGCCGCCGCCGGCGGGCGCGTGCGGGAGCGCGTCGAAGCAGGTGCCCGAGGTGCTAACAGTGAGCAGGGCTCTCAGCTGCGGCGCGTCCGTCGCTTGACACATCGTCCCCGGGAATCGGCGCCTCTGCGCTGTGCGAGACCTCGTGTAGATTGCAACGGCTATGGACCGTGTTGGGAAGACGAAGAGGTTCCTCGTTTCCGCGCTTCCCCCCGCAAAGCGCGAGAGACCCACAGAGATCAGTCGAGTCAAGAGAACAGTCAGGCGGGAGTCACAGATTAATTGAGTTTGAGAGAGAGAGAGTACACAGAGAGAGATTTTTAGCAATACCTTTGTTTGTTTGTACTTTGACGGCGCCGACGGCGAAGATTTTTTGCGATACTTCGATGTATTATGAAACAAGAAACACACATGACGCCGCACACACGTCACACCGCACCGCACCGCACCGCGCGCACGCTCTGTGAGAAAGGGATTTTTTGTGTGACGTTCGTAACGTCTCGGATGGCTGCTGCTGGGCACGCCATGGTGCGCGCCATCGGCCGCCTTCCTACACCTTATGGGCCAGCCAGCCACTACGTTGCACTCCTCTCCTCCACGGCTGGATACTCGTCAGCGGCGCAGCCACAGTTAGCGCAGACCGTTCAGCTGCGCCGCTCTGCGCAGAGCTCTGGCGGCAGCTGCGCGCAAGCGGCCGCGCCAGTCCCACCCGGCGCCGAGCAGTTCCGACCGCTCCCTCTTCCTCTTCTCGAGTGACAACCTCGTCCGCCGCGGCGCCGCGCGCTTGGTCGCGATGCCCGCCTTCGAGTCTTTCATCTTTGCGCTAATCATCTTCTCGTCCGTCCTGCTCGGGGTCGACTGGCCCGGGTGGCACGAGGACTACTGGCTCAAGCGCACCATCGCCGGCATCGACGTCGCGCTGACGGCCATCTTCATCTTCGAGGCGCTGCTCAAGTCGATCGCCTTTGGCTTCCTGAACCTCAAGGTCAGGAGCACGCCCTCCTTCCCCTACGTCTCGGTTCGCTCCACGTGCCCCGCCTACCTCGCATCCGGCTGGAATCGGCTCGACTTTGCGGTGGTCCTCATCTCCATCGTCTCGCTCGCTACAGCCGGTGTCAAGGAAGTCGCCGCCTTCCGAGCGCTTCGCGCCCTCCGGCCGCTTCGCCTTATTGCGCGCTCCGAGAATATGAAGGTGGTGATCGCCACGCTCGGCGCCGCGCTGCCAAGCGTGAGTAAGTTCCTCACGGTCTTCATCACCTTCATCCTTGTCTTTGCCATCATCTTTGTCCAGATGTTTGGAGGCAAGCTCGGCTACTGCCTCGACCCGCTGGAGATGTACAGCGTCACCCCGGGCGTGAGTGTGATCGGTGCGCAGCGGGTGAGCGACTACGAGGAGTGCATGGCGCTGCCAAAGTACAACTTGACACGCTACGACACGCTGGGCGAGCGGCTCACCGACAAGGAGGACTGGGCAGAGACGTACCGCATGTTCACCGAGTTCCCGCAGTGGACAAATCCAAACTACGGCAACTTTGACCATGTCGGGTGGGGTTCGCTGCTCCTGCTCGAGATCGCCGCGCTCGAGGGCTGGCCGGACGTCATGTACGACGTGATGGGCACCGACCGCGACGAGCGGTACGTCTCGCCGTTCTGGCTGTCGACGGCGCAAGCGAACGGCGAGCTCGGCACGGAGGAGCACGAGACGCAGCCGTACATGGCGGCCTTCTTCTTCGTGGTGTGGGTAGTGCTGGGCTGCTTCATGATCCTCAACATGGTGGTCGGCGTCGTGCTCGACACCTTCAACCACATGCAGAACGAGAGCGCCGGCCTCTCGATGATGACCGAGGCGCAGTCGGACTGGGTCAAGGCGCAGAAGGAAATCATCGCGAAGCGGCCACTAAAGAGCCCGAGGCCACCGTCGCAGCCGTGGAGGATGCCCTTCTACCGGCTGGTATCCTCCAACGCATTTGACGTTGCCATCATGGCGGTCATCTGCCTCAACACGGCCGTCATGTGCGTCGACGTGTACAACCCAGACCCCGACTCCACGCGGCTGGCGCGGACCTTCGCCGACGTCTCCTTCTACTCGAACATCGTCTTCTTCGCTATCTATACGGCCGAGATGCTCCTCAAGTGGTGCGGCCTCGGCCTGAAGCAGTACTTTGACTGCTGGGGCGTCTTCGACTGTGTCCTCGTCGTGCTGACGGCCTTCGACATCGTCACCACCGCGGCGGACTCAGACGTGCTGCCCTTCCCGGCGCCGATGCTGCGCGTCTTCCGGCTGCTGCGGGTGATGCGGATCGTGCGGCTGCTAAAGCGGGCCAAGCGGCTGCGCACCATCTTTCTCACCATCAAGGTCTCGCTGCCGGGCATGCTCAACATCGGCGTGCTCATGCTGCTGCTCATGTACATCTTTGCCGTCTTCTCCACCTCCTTCTTCTGGGCGGCAAACTACACGCCGGGCAACTTTGGGCAGACAACCTGCATCGCCAACGCGAGCGCGGGCGAGGTTCAGTGCGAAAACACGTGGTCCACGCAGCCCGCGGCAACCTGGCACGGTGGCGCGCCTGTTGCGCACGGCGCAACTCTGACAGAGACGCTGCCGCAGCTGCTGCCGTGCTCATACTACCGGCGGACAGCCCTCTGCGCCAACGCCGCCGCTTGCGTGGCGGCGGGCTGCGACGCCGGCGACGGCGCGCCCTTCTTCTTCAGCGCGGAGGACTCCAACTGGGGCGACAACCTCAACCGGCACGCCAACTTTGAGAATGTGCTCATCTCGATGCTCACCCTCTTCCGCTGCTCGACCGGCGAGTCCTTCAACCTGGTCATGCACGACCTCCTGCCGCCGGACTGGGGCGACAACATGCTGCGCTGCTGCCCCAGCTGCGGCCCGGTGGTCGGGTACGACGAGGACGGCAGCCCGGTGGCCGAGTCATCGTGCAGCGCGCGGATGGGCTCCGGCTTTGTCGGCTACTTTGTACCGCAGTTCTTCTTTTGGGTGTTCTACGTGTTGATGGGCTACATCGTGCTCAACGGCCTCTTCGTGGGGATCATTGTGGACAACTACACCAACATCGGCTCGGAGAACAAGGCCATCACGGTGGACTCCATTGAGGAGTTCCGCGAGGCGTGGCTCAAGTTCGATCCGCAGGGCGGCCTCACCTCCCCACTCGCTCGGGGGCGTTGCGGGCAGCGTCCCGTAACACGAACTTCCCGCTGCGATTAGGCTGCCTCACCATCCCGTCGCACTCGCTACTCGCGCTGCTGCAGTCGCTGCCTCCACCGCTCGGCAAGGCGGTGGTGGCACACGAGGGGAGCGCCGCGCCCGAGGGGGCGACCCGCCTCGACCTGCTCACGTGGATAAACAAGCTCGACATCCCCGACCGCGGCGGCCGCGTGCACTTCACGGAGGTGCTCAACGCGCTCTCTTACGATGTCGCTGGCGTGCCGCTCCCGCTGAACGACACGACGCGGCAGATGCAGCGCTCCGTCTCTCGCAGCACCGTCTCGGCCGGCCCCGCCAAGCCGACGCACAATGTGGCAACGAGCTACATCGCGACGCGGCTGCAGCAGCGCTGGAGGGGGCACGTGGGGCGTATCGACCCCGACGGCGGCCTTGCGGCCTTGCGCAGGGCGTCGGAGGAGCCGCAAGAGCGAGGCGCCAGCTTGCTGGTGATGGCGCGGCGGGCGAGCTCGATGACGCTGCTGAGGGGCAGCAGCACGAACCAGGTCGCGCCGACGACGTGAGAGAGGAGGCGGCCATACGTAAGTATTTTCTTGAGACGGTACTGTCATTTGCAAGGGACAATAACTATCGCACATTTTTGCACGGCCCTCTCGCCTCTGCCGCCACCCGCCAGCTACCCGTGCCGCGGCTTGCACGGGCGGGCGAGGGTCCGGAAGCCCGCGCTGGCGCCCGCGATGAGGCCCGCGGAGGCGAGGAAGGCGGACTCGTGCGAGGCGGTCGTGGCGAGGAGGGAGAGCGCGATCGGCATCGCCACGAATGTGACGTCCCCCACCTGCGCGAGCAGCGCCGACTGCGCGCCGCGGAGGTGCGGCGGCGTGACGTCGTTGGCGAGGGCGGCGATTGAGCTCATCAGGAAGGCCTCTCCGAAGCCTAGCGCCGCCATGGTGCCGAGGAGGTGCAGCTGCGAGTCGACGGCGGCCAGCGACGCGAAGGACGCGACGAGCATCCCACCGCCGAGCGAGACGGCGGGGACGCGGCCAAGCGCGTCGGCGGCGGCGCCCCCGAGCGGAGCGCCGAGGACCCCCAAGGCCGACGAGACCGAGTAGAGCGTCCCGAGCTCCGCGGGCGAGGCGCCGTGGGTGGCGGCGGCGTACAGCGGCAACACTGTCAGGCTGCAAGACCAGCCGGTGAAGAGGGCGCACTGCATCAGCATCAGCGCCTGCTGGTTGCGGTCGCGCGCTAGGGCGCCGAAGCTCCGCTGCGTGCCGTCGAGCAGCGCCCGAAAGCGCAGCGACGCCACCGAGGTGCCCGGCGCGGGCGGCTGCGTTTCCGGCAGCAGCCAGTGTATGGCGGGGGCGGTGGCGAGGAGGATGCCTCCGACAAGGACGAAAGGCAAGCCGATCCCCGCCCGCTCGGCGAGGAAGCCGCCCAGCGCCGGCCCGAGGATCCAAGCGAGCGCTCCGGCGGCGTTCAGCGCGCCGAGCAGCCTCCCCTTGTGCTTCGGGTAGAGGGAGAGCACGTCCATCGCGTACGCGGTGGCGGCGCTCCCGCCGACCGCCGAGCCCGCGCCCATCAGCAGCCGCGCGGAGACCATCGACCCGAGCCCTCCGGCACACGCGGTCGCGATGCAGCCGACGCCGTCGACGATTGCGCCACCTACCCACGGCGGCTTCCGCCCCAGCACGTCCGCCAGCTGGCCTATTGGCTAAGAATGGGCATGCATCCTTTGTGTCAATGGCTTCCGCCCCAGCACGTCCGCCAGCGGTGGCCGGCTGGCAGGTTGAGGCAGGCGCGCGCCATGGCCGGCACGGCGATCACCACGCCGACGTGGGCCTCGGTCAGGCCCACCGAGGAGGCGTAGGCGGGCAGGATGGGCACGATCATGCCGATTCCGAGCTGCAGGAGCGCCGAGCTCACGAGCACGACTCCGAGCTGCGTCTTCGCCTGCTGCGTGAGCACAAGCCCTCGCAGCGACGAGTCGCCGCTGTCGCTGTCAGCGTTTCCGCCGCTTCCGCCGCTGGTACTGCCGCTGCTGCTGCTGCCGCTGCCGCTGCTGTCGCTACTATCGGTGCTGCTGCCGCTGCGGCCACTGGCGACGCGACGCTGAGGAAGTGCACACGTGCTCCATGCGTCGCTGCATAGACGAAGGCGGGGCCTGGCTGCTCGCAGCGAGCAAGTACGGCCGAGCCGTAGCGGTCGTGCCTGCATCATGATCGTCGGGCTCGGAAATCTTTGTCGTGGTAATTCTTTTCCCACTCATTGATTGCCGGTGCGTATCACGCTCGCGAGGCCTGTAAAATTCTTTTCTCGCGATGTCTGCCCCGCCGCGGCGCTCGCGGCGCTCGCGCCGCCTCGCCCCCGCCGCCCCTGCCGCTCCCTCGCCAGACACGCCGCCGCCCACCCGCCTCCTCGATCTCCCCTCGGAGCTCCTCGTGCGCGCCCTCTCTCGCTGCGACCCAACCGATATCGCTCGCGCCGCGGCCGTCTCGCTCCTCTTCCACACCTCGCTTGCGGTGGATGCCATCCGCTTGCGGGCGCAAGAGCGCGGCTTCGAGCTGCCGGCGCTGCCAGAGGGCGAGGGCTGCGCCGTGCGGTGGCTGTGCTTGTCGGCGCTGCTGCGCGAGTCCAACCCGCCGGCGAGGCTTGCAGCAGGCCACTTCCACAGCCTCTTCATCGACGGCGAGGGGCGGCTCTCGTCGTGCGGCGGGTTGCCGCCCAACTCTCCACGGCTACTAGGCCACGGTGAAGGCGTGACGCGGCTGAATACGCCGACCCGCCTTCCTCCGCTGGGCGGCGAGCGCGCCGTGAGCGTGTCGGCTAGAGACACCCACAGCCTCGCCCTCGCCGCCGACAGCACTGTCTGGAGCTGGGGCGTTGGAGGCTGGGGCCAGTTGGGCCACGGCGACCAGCAGAGCCAGTGGCAGCCCAAGCAGGTCGAGGCCTTGGCTGGCCAGCGCGTCGTCGCTGTGTCGGCTGGACGCGACCACAGTCTGGCCCTCACCGCCAACGGCGCCGTCTGGAGCTGGGGCTATGGAGGGGATGGCCAGCTGGGCCACGGCGATGAGCAGCGCCAGCGGTTGCCGAAGGAGGTCGAGGCCTTCGCTGGCCAGCGCGTCGTCGCTGTGTCGGTTGGAACCGACCACTGCATCGCCCTCACCGCCGACGGTGCCGTCTGGAGTTGGGGCTCTGGAGGCTTTGCCGCCAGGTTGGGCCACGGCGACCAGCAGCGCCAGCTGCTGCCGAAGAAGATCGAGGCCTTCGCTGGGCGGCGCGTCGTCGCTGTTTCGGGGGGAACCCACCACAGCCTCGCCATCACCGCCGACGGCGCCGTCTGGAGCTGGGGCTTTGGATACTACGGCCAGCTGGGCCACGGCGATACGCAGGACCAGCTGCTGCCCAAGAAGATCGAGGCGTTGGCTGGTCAGCGCGTCATCGCTGCGTCGGCAGCACGCATCCACAGCATTGCCCTCACTGCCGACGGCGCCGTCTGGAGCTGGGGTGCAGGAGGCAATGGCAGGCTGGGCCACGGCGACACGCAAAGCCAGCTGCTGCCGAAGAAGGTCGAGGCCTTGGCTGACCAGCGCGTCGTCGCTGTGTCGGCAGGAGGCGACCACAGTCTCGCCATCACCGCCAACGCCGCCTTTACGTGGGGCAAGGGCGAGGACGGCTCTCTAGGCCACGGAGAGGACCTGTCGAACCAGCTGCTGCCCAAGAAGATCGACGTGTGGGCGCGGGAATAGGCCTCCTCCCGCATCTTTACTCGCGCCGGTCAGGCTCAATCCTAGGGGGATGAGCATGGCTGCGAGCGGAAGAAGCGTGTGGCGAGAGATGTAGGATGTTACGGAAACCAAAAAACACGCTAGATCCTACGTCTCAATATGTTCAAAAGCAGTGGAAAAAAACTCTCAGTCTCACCCTTTGCTCCCCCCTCCTCGCCACGCCCGCGTCGCTCCCCTTCTCCGCAAAGACCTCGAGGAGGCGCAGCACCTTCTCGCCCTGCATCTCAAGCGCCGAGTGCCGCGCCGCGCGCGAAAGCGGCCCCTATTACTGCGTCTCGCGCGCGATGGCGAAGCCCAAGACGCAGTGGCCAAAGTCGAGCGCCGCGATGCCGTTCGTTGCTCCGGCCGAGTCGAGGTGGTACCGCTCGTGGATCTCGTAGATCGAGCGGACGAGGAGCGCCGCCCGCGCGCGGGCCGCCGCGGGGAAGAGCGAGTGGCTTGCCGGCGACCACGGCGCCGCCGCCCGCCGGATCAGCGCCGCCGCCTCGCCCTCGCCGCCCGCGGCGCGCCGCAGCGGCGTCGGCTCGCCCTCGTGCAAGCTTGCGCCGCTGCGCAGCAGGGAGAGGGCGCGGGCGGCGGTGAGGGTCTCAAGGTGCGCGAGCGGCGTCCAGCCGCGGCTGGCGACCAGCCAGGCGGCGAGGTCGGTGTGGCCTTGGCTGTTTGCGATCTCCTCGGGCGTGCCGAAGGGCGTAGCGGCGCGGGAGGCGCCGTAGGAGGAGAGGAGCTTGGCGACCTCGAGGTGGCCGTTCGCGCACGCCGCGAACAGCGGCGTGCCGCCAGCCTCATCGGCCTGGTCGATCGCCGCGCCAGCCTCGAGAAGCAGCTGCACGCACTCGAGCTGGCCCTCCTGGCACGCCATGGACAGCGGCGTGGTGCCCTCCTCATCGGCCTGGTTGATCGCCGCGCCAGCGTCGCGCAGCAGCTGGGCGCACTCGGCGTGGCCCTCCTGGCACGCGATGTTCAGCGGCGTGGCGCCGCCGTTCATCGCTTGGTTGATGTCAGCGCCAGCGCCGCGCAGCAGCTGGGCGCACTCGAGGCGGCCCTTCTGGCACGCGATGTACAGCGGCGTGGCGCCGTTTTGCTTGGCTTGGTTGACCGCCGCGCTCGCCTCGAGAAGCAGCCGGACGCACTGGTCATGGCCCTTCAGGCTCGCGACGTACAGCGGCGTGGCGCCGTCCGCTGCGGCTTGGTCCTTCGCCGCGCCCGCCTCGAGGAGCAGCCGGGCGACCTCGGGGTGGCCGTTCTGGCACGCGATATACAGCGCGGAAGCGCCGCCGCCAGTCGTCGCCCCGACGCTCGCGCCGCCCTCGAGCAGCAGCCGCACCGCCTCGGCTTGCCCGTGACGAGCGGCCCAGGTGAGCAGCGTGTCCTGCTTCTCGGTGTCGAGCCGCGCGTCGAGCTGGGCCGCGAGCGACGTGCCGCGCGTCCGCCGCCCGAAGAGGAAGGCGTGCAGCCAGGCCAGGTCGCCCCGAGCCAGGTCGGCGAGGGGGGCTTGGCCGGCCCGGCTGGCGCCGCTCATGCCGTCCCGTCCCCGCGAGAGATTGAGGTTAGCCTCCAGGTTCCGGCTCCTTCCCGGGTAGGGGGTCTCGCGCTGACTCGCGCCAAAACGCCCTGTGTGTGTGTGTGTGTGTGTGTGTGTGCACTCACTCACTCACAAAACGCCCTACCTACCTACCTGTTGCGGGCGCCAACCGCCAGGCTCCGTGCCCCACCTACCTACCTATTCCCAGGGAGAGAGGGCCGCGAGCAGACAGGGAAAGGGAGGCGAGGGGGCGGCTCGGCAGCCCGCAGGGAAAAGGAGACATCGGCAGCCGCGTCGGGCCTCGCGACTGCGTAACCACCAATCTGCCCGCAGGTGCGCGAGGTTGGCACGAAATGGTCCCTCATCGCCGCGAGACTATCTGGCCGGACAGACGACGCAGTGAGGGCCAGCACACAACTTAGTAGTGAGACACGCACCGACTCGACGGCGCATCTCGGCCACTGCGCAGGTGAGGAACCGGTACATCCGGCTGCAGAAGAAGCGAGGCGACACCGCGGACAACAGTACCGCGACAGCCGGCACGCAGGGCACTGCCAGTAAGCGGGGAGATATGTGGACGGCCAGCGAGGATGAGTCAATCCTCAACGGTGCCACACCGGCCGCGCACGTGCCTGCCTGTTGCCAGCCCCGCTTACTCCTTTGGTGCGCCTCCATCTGCACCAGGCGTCCAGCTCCACGGGTTTAAATGGCAAACCATCGGAGAGTCGCTGCCCGGCCGATCCGTCAACGCAGTGCGAGAACCGAGATGCCCTGCAGGCGCCCTAGGAGATGTCGCAGCTAACCGTAGGCTCCCTTGACCTCCGCCAGGTCCGGAACCGGTACCTCCGGCTGACCTCGCAGCCGAACGCGGCGGCGGCGGCAGCGGCCCTGGCGAGTGAGCGTGCGGCCAGCTTCTCCCCGACGCAGCGCCTTCATCCCGACTTGCTCGCCGCATCTCAGCGCGTACAGGCCCGAGAAACTTCCGAGACGGTTCCACCGCCTCGCTACTGGACCAGCCCACGTTCCCGCGGCAAGTCCGTGATACGCTAACCGTGGTCTCCTTCAGGCGTGGGGAGAAGCGGAGCTCGCGATGAGCTTGGGCACCCCGGAGACCGCCCCGGCGGGAAGCGATGGCGGCGCATCCTCCGCCTCCGCCGAAGGCAGCCCTGCCACGCCACCGCCGCTGCAACCGCCCAAGCAGCCACCGCCGCCACTGGTGTTGCCGGTGGCCGGCGCGGTTGGCTATGACACGCCGACCCCGACGCTTCGGCTGGGATGTAGCAGCAGCAGCAGCAGCAGCAGCAGCAGCAGCAGCAGCAATAGCAGCAACAGCAGCAGCAGCAGGAGCAGCAGGAGCAGGAGCAGCAGGAGCAGGAGCAGTTCGTCGTCACCAGAGGTCTGTCCGCCGCTGCAGCTAGCCTTGCTACCACCGTCAGCGGCGCGCGGCGCCTCCTTTACCTCCACAACGTCCACCGTCCCTTGCTCCCCCGCCGTCACAGCCGTCGCCGTCGCTTCCCCGGTGACTCCCACAGTGACCAAAGCGGTGCCGGTTGTCGAGGCGAGGCAGGCCCCGCAGCCGCAGCCACCTCTTCAGCCCATCGGCCTACCGCCCATAACGCCCAAGGAGGCCGCCGCGGCCGCCGCGGCCGCCGCTGCGATGGCGGCTGCGGCGGCTGCCGCCACCGCTGCACGGATACATCTCGCCAAGCGAGCTGACGAGCACCTCGCCAAGAACCGAGCCCTGGGTCTCTCCGCCGCGGAGGGCATGGGCAGCGGCGGAGGCTCGGCCGCGCCACCGGCGGCGCGCAAATAAACGGCGGGCGGAGGGTGGCGTAGACCGAGAAGGAGTGGAATAGATTGGTTGGGAGGCGGGGCGTGGCGCAGGACGAGCACGGTGCACATAGAGAGCGGGCGAACGGCGCTGCACGCCATGAGATGTACATTGAATTGAGGGTGTGTGGTCTAATGATGTCATTATTGAGAGAGATGCGAGCGTCGCCGCAGAGCGCACATCAGGCCTCTCACCCCCGCTTTACCAGACGATTCCACGATTCTGCGTTTCTGGACCGCCGGGGGCCGGGGGCGGCGGGGCCGGTCGCCGCTCCTCGCGCGGTCGCGGGTCGGCCGTCGCCGTGCGTCGCCCATCGGTCGCGTGCTTTAGCCTTAAGCTGTAGTAGAGTCCCAACCAGAGGCTCTAAGAAGTGCAAGCCTGCAGAGATGTCTTTGTCACCGTGAGTGCTAGTCTCTGTGGGACTGGCCTCCCTCGTCCAGATATACGCAGCGTTTATACAACCGGCGCGGGCTCCGCCATGCGCACTCAATCGAGCGCGTCCAAGCTCTGCCCGCCACCCGCGCCCTCGTTCGGCTCTAGACGCAAACCGTCCTCCGCCTCCGCCTCCGCCACCTCGGCCGACAGCGCGGGCGGCTCGTCCGCAGGCCTGCTCACCTCCTCGATTGGAGCGCCAGACTCGTCGAGCTCACCGCAGGCCTCTACCACCACCGGGCGCGCGGTGAAGCCCTCCGCCGAGCCCTCCATGGCGATGGCCTGGAGGACCTCCATCCCCTCGAGCACGCGGCCAAAGAAGACATGCCCCCTCTCAAACTCGGAGATGTGGCCCAGCGTGACGGCCCACTGCGACTGGTTGTTGTTTGCGACGCCAAAGTGGGCCATCAGCAGCTGGCCCGCTCCAGTGTGCTTGAGCTTGAAATTCTCGTCGTCAAAGGACGGGCCGTAGATCGAGCGGCCGCCCGTCCCGCCGGCGCTGTGCGTCACGTCGCCGCCCTGCACTATGAAGCCAGGGACGACGCGGTGCACGGCCGTCCCCGCGTAGTGCAGCCGCACCGTCCGCTTCTTGGAGACCTTGACGGAACCGGCTTCGCCGGTGCAGAGGCAGCGGAAGTTCTCGACAGTGCGCGGGCACGCCTTGCCGCACAGGCCGAAGACGACGCGCCCCGCGTCCGACCCTCCCACGGAGAAGTCCATGTACACGCGGTGTGTCACCGAGTCGTCAACCTCGGTCATGAGGAGGCAGTCCCACTGCATGTTTGGCCGCAGCTTGGCGAGGCCGGCGCGCAGCTGCTTCCCGCCGCCCGGCGCCGCCTCGAGCTCCCAGAAGGAGTCGTCCGGCTTGATCGGGAGGAAGAGGCGCCCCTCGAGCACCGCCTCGCCGCGCACCGCCACCTTGACCGTCTGCGAGGTGAGGTCGAGCCGGACCTGCGGAGGGAAGAGGCGTGCGCGCTGGCGAGGTGTGCGCCGGCGCGAGGAGGCGAGTCCAGGAGAGGGAGAGACGGAGGGGCAGGAGCACGAGCGCAGTAGAAGAGGGCGGAGCAGGGAGGGTGCAGGCGGAAGGGACACGAAAGGGAAGGGCGGCGAGGCGAGGCGGACCTCCTTTGCGCGGATGTCGGCGGCGAGCGGCAGCAGGAGCGTCATCTCCTTGTTGCTCTGCGACCACTCCATCGCGGACGTGTGCTGGGAGGCTGGGCCGGCACCGCTGCGTCGGGTCGAAGGGGAGGACTCGCAGGGCGCTGCCTAGGGGCCCAGGGAGCGAAGGTGGGCCGCTTCGCTCAGAAAAAGAATTTTAGAACAAAACTCCCTCTCTCTCTCTCTCTCTCTCTCTCTCTCTCTCTCTCTCTCGCTCGACACTGGGCACAGGACTGGGCACGGGACTGGCTCGCACTGGCACTAACACAGGTACACCACGGGAGCCGCCTAAGCGACTCCTGCGAGGGTGGCGAGGCACTTAGCTCCGTGCACCCGCCCACCCCCGCCACAGGCAAGCTCATTCACAATCTGCTCTGCGATTGCCGTGTGAAGAACGACTGAGATGCGCTGCTTCTGCAGCCCCAGCCAGCTCTTGGTGGTCCAAGTCACCTCATCGAGGTACTGGGCCCGCGTCAGCTTGTTCTGTAGTACGTCCGCCGCCTTCCTGAGGATCTCACGGACCCCCTTTCCGAACCCGCCGAACGATTCGAACAGCAGCAGCTGCACTTCGACGCCCTTGTCTTCCCTGGCGTAGCGATAGTCCCCGCCGTAGGACGGTATGCGGCGGTCGCCGCCCACCACCCTGCCCCCCCTGGTATGCCAGCGCCCGGTCCCTTGCCCTCTCTCGCCCTTGCTCTTCCTCTCCCCCTCCATGCCGCCCCCCCCGGTACCCTTCCCCCCCCCCCTTTTTTTTTTCCCCCCCCTTCCCCTTCCCCCCCCCCCCCCTCCCCCCCTGCTCGCCCGCGAGCCGCCGGGCCTCGGCCTCGGCGGCGGCGCGGCGCTGCGCGAGCCCCTCGAGGACGTCGGTCGGCTGCGCTTCCCGCCAGCCGACGAAGCCGCCGCCCACGACCCTGCAGCCCCGCGCCGCGGCCGTGGCGTAGTCTGCCGCCTTGAGCCATCCGCGCTCTGGCGGGAGCGGCGAGGCGGGCTGCGGCGGAGGCGGCACGGTGGGCGACGCCGACAGGAGCGAGGCGAGAGGCGGCGAGGGCAGCGCGGGAGGCGGCGGCGGGGAGGGCCGAGCCGACTGTGGCGGCGGCGAGGGCGAGTGCGGCGAGGGCTTCTGCGGCCTCGCAGGCAGCGACTCGGCCGCCTCGTCACGCGGCACCCGTCCCTGGGCAGACAGGCTTGCGCTGCGTGCCCGTGCTCCTGGGTCCTCCTCCTGCTGGCTCACCCTGGTCGCGAAGGATTTTGACATAGGGTTCGCTCGCGGCGAGGGCGGATGCGGCGAGGGCTTCTGCGGCCTCGCAGGCAGCGACTCGGCCGCCTCGTCACGCGGCACCCGTGCCTGGGCAGACAGGTCTGAGCTGCGTGCCCGTGCTCCCGAGTCCTCCTCCTGCTGGCTCACCCTGGTCGCGGGGGATTTTGACATAGGGTGCGCCCGCAGGGTCGGCGGCGGCGACGGCGAGCCGGGTAGAAGCAGCTGCTGCGGCGGAGCGGCGGGGGTCGGCTGCGGTGGCAGCTCCCATTGCCCACGACGCTCGAGCTCGGCTCGCAGCTCCGGCTCCCTCGCGAGCTTGCGCTCCTGGCCCGGCACGAGCGGCTCGCCCCCGCTGCGCCGCGCCGCGATTGCGTCGATCTCGGTGAGCAGGCGTCGCAGTCGCTCTGTATCCAGCTCCTGCGTCGGCTTGCAGAACGCCTGCCCGGTGCGGTACTCCTCCTCGAGCGGCTTTACCTCCTCGAGCGGCGTCGGTGGAGACGTCGGCAGCTGCGCCGCGCCCTCAGGCGGCAGCCAGCGCCCGCCCGCCCGCCCGCTCCGCCCCCATGGCGCCGCCGGCCACTGCTGCGGCCAGCTCGCGTCGCGCACGCTCGCGACGTATTCGCGGCCGGCGGCACTGCGGCGTACGACCAGCCTCGGCGGCTTCACGCCTTTGCCTTGGCGGGTCGGCGCGGTCAGGTCGGCCTCTCCGTTCGCCTGGAAGCGCGCCTTCCGCTCGCGCCGCCCCGTGGCCTCCGACTCGTAAGTCGCCTCCCACTGCAGCACGCGCGCCTCGTTATCGGGGAGCGTCTCCTTGGGCCACGAGCTCCGCAGTTGCGCGCGGACGCCCCCAGCGAAGGCCCTGGCGTCGCGTGTCGGCGGGCCGAAGTAGCGCTCGTCCTCCTTGGCGAAGGCCTCCGCGCTGCCAGGCATCTCTCCGGCGAGGGCGTCGGCCAGCCGCACGGCGCCGTCCTCCGCAGACACGCCGCAGCAGAGCTGCCAGTGGTCGTCGAGCGCGGAGGCCTGCGCCTCGTGCTGAAGGAGGCAGGCGCGGAGGGCGGTCTTGGCGGAGGCGACGCCTTCGGCCGCGGCCTCGAAGGGACCGTCCCCGTCCTCGTCGGAGGAGAACCGCCTCCCGTGAGCTGGCCCGCCGCTCGCCCCGACGCGCGCGGTACCGCCGGCCGCGCCGCCCGGCCGAGGGGAGCACGGCTCTCTCGCTCGTGCGTGTCGTCATCATCTGTCTTGCGTCCACCCATACCGCGTTGGTGTCCAGTCCGAGCCTGACTGTTCTTCACCTTACTACATACATACATACGGACGCTGCCATGCCGCCCGGATCATACCATACCAATGCATCACACACATTGCATGCACTTGGAGCACTTGGAGTGCAGTTATCAGCCTCACATCCAGGGCCGGCCGGGCATGCATTCGCAACACTCCGTCTTGTCAGCATTAGCAACTGTGTCAAAGCCTGTGGGCGGGGCTGGGGTTTATTCCTACGGTGGAGAGTGAGAGATCGCTTCGAATCCACACACAGGCCTCTTTTGCGGAAGAATGAGGACCTCGCCTGCAGTGAGGACCTCGGCATCAGAGCTCAGCAAAGTCAATATTAGGGGAAGCGAAGGCGGCACGGAAGATGCGGGGAGGGCGAGGGAGGGTCTGAGGGTCAGAGGGGGAGGGACACGGCCCACTTTGGGACTGGCCGGAAAAGATAGTACCCTGCACTGGCTGGAGACGAACCGATGAGGCAAATGAACAGGAAAGAAGGAAGGGAGCATCACAATGTAGCCTCTAACTGTGCACCATCACCATGTTGGTTGAGTAAATTCTTTTTGCATGTTTTAGTAGTGTTGGGGGAGAGAGAGAGATTTTTAGCAATACCAATGAGTTCCCTTGTAAAATTCTTTTTTGCGGATTCGACCATCCGCCTTCTGACTGCGAATCCGACGACGGCTTCTGTGAGGACGAGTTAGAAGCCGTCGTCCTCGCTTTGCCTTTTGTGTGAATCGTCATCGGAAAATTCTTTTTTTTGCGATGGTTGCGATCAGCTCGCAGGCTGCGACCATCCTCCACGTCACGACGGGCAAGCCCGGCAGCCTCGACTCGGCGCTGGATGCACTGAGGGCACTGAAAAGCTCCAACACTCGACGCGAGGTCCACCTCGAGGGCGGTACTCACTACCTGCGCCGAACGCTTGAGCTCGATGAAACCGACAGCGGTGCGACTCACTCAGACATTCCATCACCCTGCACCCATATCTTCACCGCTAGCGGACTCCATAAACCTGCAGCGCCACAATACGGCACACGACGCAGGTTCCGTGGCAACGCTGCTCAATACTCAGTGCTCACGCCTGCAAATCGCGACTGCTCCTCGCACCCCGCCACCATGCCTACTCCATTGGCTTAGGCACGGCCGACGCGCCGGTGGTGTGGACCACCTCGCCTGCCGACCTCGCGCGTGGCCGCGTCGCTATCCTGAGCGGCGGCGTCGCCGTCCCTCGCTCGGCCTTCTCGCCTATTTATCAATTGGTAGTGCTATCACTATTTAATTGTTACTCTGTTTGACTGCATAGGCCTTCTCGCCTGCCGCGGTGCCGAGCGGCGTGAGCGGCGTGCTCGTCGCCGACCTCTTCTCGCTCGGCCTCGACCGCAGCTCGCTCGGCGGGATGGGGTCGGGCCAGTACCCCTCCGAAAAGCTGGTGGCTCCAACTCGTTCAAGGAGCGTTGAGAAAGTCATAGAGAGGTTTGCATGACCAATCGTGGTGATTGGTTAAACTAGGAGCTCGTGTACGGGGGAGCGCCGCAGACGCTCGCGCGGGACCCAAACATTGGGGACGACCCACTGAGGACTTGACAGTTGGCGGGGTACGAGATTGGTAAGGATGAATGCTTGACGGCGGCTGATTTAATTCATAGGACGTGGCAGTGGGCGGGGTACGAGCGAGTCAGGGCGTCCTCGAGCGCTGAACTTGAGTGACTCGCGGCCCTCACTTAATCTTAGTCCGCCATCAACGACTCAGGCATCCTCGAACACCTCACAGGGGAGATCAGGGGAGATCACGCGAGATCACGGGAGACCACGGGAGATGACTCAGGCATCCTCGAACCGCTCGCTGGCGTTGAACGACTCGCGCGCCGCGCTGTGGCAGCGGGCGCTGCGCGACGGCGGCCTCCACCTGCACGCGTACTGCCAGTGATCTCAAAGTGTCATCAGCTATTCATTACTGGCCTGACTGCGAAGGCGGCCTCCACCTGCACGGGTACTGGAAGTACGACTGGCGGGACGGCTACGTGCGCGAGATCTAGCCGAGAGCATGGCGCGAGGTATGGCCGAGGTACGGCCGAGGCACGGAGAGAGACATGGCCACGGAGATGTGGCCGAGCTCTGGTGACCCGAGATTACCCGAGATTACCCGAGACATGGCCACGGAGATGCGGCCGAGCTTCCGGACTCGGCAGCTGGTCACGTTGAGCTGGCGGCTCGGTGTATAGCATCTCATCCGCGCGAGATATGGCCGAGATGTCATCTCGTGTACGCCACGGATGCGCGTGGGGAGATCACGCGAGATCACGGGAGATCACGGGAGATCACGCCACAGGTGCGCGTGGGCGCCATCGAGCGGAGAGGCGACGGCGGCGGCTTTGACATCACCTTCGCCTCTGACGCGGAGCCGGGCGCTCACCACCACCGAGCCCGCCGCCTCCATCGCCGCCCCCACCCTCTCCTCCGCCGCCATCCCCGCCTCCGTCTCCTCCGCCTCCCAGCCCACCGCCTCCGAGCCCACCGCCACCAGGCTGCCCCCGCCCTGCCGGCGGCTGTGAGTCCTCCCCATGAGTGCGAGAGGCAAGCTGTGATTGATTGGTCTGCAGGCTACCCGCCCGCCGACGGTTGCCGCTTCTACGCACTCAACGCGCTGCGCCTGCTCGACGCTCCAGGAGATCTCCACGCGATCTCGCCAAATCTCGGCTGCACCTCGGCTGCACCTCGTCTCATCTCGGCGCACCTCGGCTGCACCTCGTCTCATCTCGTCTCATCTCGGCGCACCTCGGCGCACCTCGGCGCACCTCGGCGCACCTCGGCGCACCTCGGTTGCACCTCGGCGGCACCTCGGCTGCACCTCGGCTGCACCTCGGCTGCACCTCGGCTGCACCTCGGCTGCACCTCGGCTGCACCTCGGCTGCACCTCGGCTGCACCTCGGCTGCACCTCGGCTGCACCTCGGCTGCACCTCGGCTGCACCTCGGCTGCACTTCGGCTGCACCTCGGCTGCACCTCGGCGCACCTCGGCGCACCTCGGCTGCACCTCGGCTGCACCTCGGCTGCACCTCGGCTGCACCTCGGCTGCACCTCGGCGGCACCTCGGCGGCACCTCGGCGGCACCTCGGCGGCACCTCGGCGGCACCTCGGCGGCACCTCGGCTGCACCTCGGCTGCACCTCGGCTGCACCTCGGCTGCACCTCGGCTGCACCTCGGCTGCACCTCGGCTGCACCTCGGCTGCACCTCGGCTGCACCTCGGCTGCACCTCGGCTGCACCTCGGCTGCACCTCGGCTGCACCTCGGCTGCACCTCGGCGAAGCTCGAACGTCTTTTGCCCGGCAGGAGAGTACTACGTGAGCGAGGACGGGAGGAGCTCTCCCTGTTCCCCTCCAAGCGAGCCTCGGAATGAACAACCGACTTCATGACCACACCGGTTAGTACCAGGCTGTACTTTTACCCTCCGGGCGGCGCGCTGGCTGCGGACGTGTCCGTGAGTGTCCTCCCGCACGTGCTGCGCTTGCGCGGTATGCAAGTATGATGGCGAAACACGCAGCCAGACCAACGGCTGGACACACCAACGCGGTATGGGTGGACGCGGGACGGGAGATGACGGCCACACAGGAGCGACACACAGAACCACACAGGACAAGACGCTCGCGCGGCGCCACGCCCCCCGACGCTCGGGCTCCCCGAGAGTACCCGAGAGTACCCGAGAGTACCCGAGAGTACCCGAGAGTACCCGAGAGTACCCGAGACTACCCGAGAGTACCCGAGACTACCCGAGATTACCCGAGAGTACCCGAGAGTACCCGAGATTACCCGAGATTACCCGAGAGTACCCGAGAGGACCCGAGAGGACCCGAGAGGACCCGAGATTGGCCGAGCTGTAGGCGTGCGGCACCACTCCTTCCGACACATGGCAAGCTCATCTCTGCCAGCGGAGGCAGGGACGCCGGCGAGAGTTCACAGCGAGGGCTGTGAACAGGAGCGCTCGTCGAGCAGGCGGAGACACGAACGCAAGGTTCGCGCCTACACTGAACGGCGGTGAGTAGGCCTTCTCAACGAGCCAAGGTGCAGCCGTCGACGCGGCGGGATTCACAGCCTCCTATTCACAGCCCTCGCTCCTATTCACAGCCTCCTATTCACAAGGTGCGGCCGTCGACGCGGCGAGATGCTCCAGCGTCTCGTTCCTCTCCACCTCGGTCAGCAACTCTGGCGGTGCCGGTGCCTGCATCGCCATCAGCGGCGACAGCAACACGATCCGCGACAGCACCGTCTCCGGGTGCGCGGGCGCGGGCGTCAGCGTCGACGGCGGCGACACGGAAACACTGCGCGGCTCAAACTCCTCCGTGGTTGGGAATTCAATCTCCAACTTCTCGCGGCTTGTGCGGACGTATGCTCCCGGCGTCCACTTCGATGGCGTGGGCCTGCACGTGGGCAACAACTCCGTCAGACACGCGCCGCACTCGTGCATGACCGGTGGCGGCAGCAATCACGTCTTCGAGCACAACCCCGAGATCGCCCGAGAGTACCCTAGACTACCCGAGATGACCCGAGATTGGCCGAGCTGTAGGTCTTCGAGCACAACCGGCTAGAGCACTGCGTGTACGAGTGCATCGACGCGGGTGCCTTCTATGTCGGCCGCTCGTGGGCCCAGCGCGGCAACGTCGTCCGCTTCAACGTCTTTCACACCGTCCGACCGACCGAGCGGCTGGCGCAGCGCTCGTGCTCGCAGAACGCTCTCTACCTTGACGATCAGATGTCCGGGTCCGTCAGTCAGTGGCTACACACCTCCTAGCACCGAGCACGCACCCACACGCACACACGCTGCGCATGATTGGCTCGGGAGCCGACACGAGGCACACTGCCACCGGCCGTATCACTGGGTCCGGACTGCTGGACGCACAGATCACAAGCTCACAGCTCCCAGATGCCCGGGTACCTTAAGGTAGTCCAGACAAAAGACATGCCGCGGCGCCTCAAAGGAAAGCCGCGGACGCGTCGAGCTGTGAACAGGTACGACGTGTACGGCAACACAATCGTCAACGCGACGCAGGGCGTCCTGCTAGGTGTGTGCGGGAGTTGGTTGTCGGGAGGGAGGGGCATTGCTCGCCCACGCGCACCGGGCCTTGCACTTGGAATGCCGTGCCGCAGCTCCTGCCTGTGTGGCCGGGTGTGGAGATGCGAGGGTCGCCCCCCCTTGCCCCACCACTTTGTGTGAGAGGAGAAATTTACCTCCCCTTAACCTGACCTCCTGCTAGGCGGAGGGCGGCGCAACCGCCTGCACAACAACACCTTTGTCGCGTGCGACGTCGACTTTCCTAGAAGAAGCGGAATACGCATTCCTGTCTTCCCCAACCAGCACTCGAGAGACACGTACTCCGCTGTACCCCGCTGTACCCCGCTGTACCCCGCTGTACCCCGCTGTATCCCGCTGTACCCCGCTGTATCTTGCTGTATCCCGCTGTCTTCACGCCTTGCTCTGAAGACTGAGGTTGGGCGTATTTCTGCTTCTAGGTCGACGTCGCCTTCGACGCGCGCGGGCTCAGCTGGCAAAGGGCCTCCTGCCAGAAGAACTGCAGCGCGAGCATGGGCGACTCGTGCGGCCTCGGTGCTTGCCGTCGCTGTGAACGGCGCCTCCTCACGCTTGTCCCTGTGAACAGGCACCTCCACGACCTCGTGCTTCGCCAACGCCTTGCGCGCGGTGCACCACACGCGGCCGCCGCCTTCCCGAGATTGCCCGTGATTACGCGAGATGTGCCGAGATCAGGTGCACTACACGCGGCCTCCGTACGCCGCCGCCTTCCCGGAGCTGGCTTCAATCTACCAGGAGCACCCGTGCGTGCCCGTTGGCAACGTGATCGAGGACAACCGCTACTGCCATGCTGGGAGCAAGGGCGGCGGGCTGTTTCTCGACCGGAGCGAGGCGCAGGTGCGGCAGTGGTACTCATCGGTCTCGAACAACCGCGAGGCGTGCTGAGCGGGTCCGGCAGACACGTCCGGGCGCGAGGGGTCGAACCCTCCACTTGCATTGGGCCCCTTGCACGTTATTTTAGGGACGATGTGGCCATAAAGGCCTTGTATGTGGGCACTGGCCGGTGTCTTACCTGGTAGAGCGAGTACCTCTCGGAATCACTGATTGGTTTGGCACCGGCGCCATGCCGTTCACTAGACGCCGTGTGCAACTCGCACAACCGGGACGAAAAGCTCGAAAAGGAAGACACATATGTCGATGTGTAACATGTACATGTCGTAAGGAGAAGTAAGATGTAAGGGATCGAGATGTTTAAGAACTCTAAGATCGAGCTCGAGAGCCGTAAGCGTAACTTTAAACTTTCAGTGTTTGCCGCTTTTGCCGTTACACGAAAAGACCCGGCGTGCACGTGCGCGGTGATTGTGAACACCCCGGCCTCGCGCTGCCCACCGCTCCACGGGCCCGTCTGTGGCGGGTGACGCCCCAACGGCTCAGACGCCGTCGATGTTGGCCGAGCCCATGCCCTCGTCGGCGTCCTCCTCGTCCGCGTCGCCGTCGATCTCCTGCTCGCAGGGAGGGGTACCGAGATGAGCAGAGGTACCGCCGAGGTACTGCCGAAGTACCGCCGAGGTGCGTGGCTGCGTCGATCGCCTGGTTCTGCTGCTATACCGCGGCTAGATCTCGGCTAGATCTCGGCTAGATCTCGGCTAGATCTCGGCTAGATCTCGTCGGCCGCCTGGTTCTGCTGCTCGAGTGTCGACATCAGGGACGAGAGGAGCTTGTCGTCGCGCTCGTCGACCGCCTTGGGCGCCATCTTGACCTGCAAGCGGAGATGTGCGGAGATGTGGGGAGATGTGGGGAGATCGTCCACCGCCTCGGGGCGCCATCTTGACCTGCAGCTCCCCCTTGGCCGCGCGGATCTCCGCCTGCATCACCTCGATCGCGTCCTGCAGCAGCTTGACTCCGACCGCCTGCCGTTAATGAACTGTTAATGAACTATTAATAAAATATTAATCAACTGCAGCAGCTTGACTCCGACCGCCTGCCGTCGGGGCAGAGCCGAGTAGTGCCGAGGTAGAGCCGAGGTCTAGCCGAGGTCTAGCCGAGGTCTAGCCGAGGTCTAGCCGAGGTCTAGCCGAGGTCTAGCCGAGGTCTAGCCGAGGTAGAGGTAGATATCATTAACGAGCTACTCAATGAATGAATTCGCTGTCTCTCGCCTTGTCGAGCGACGAGCAGAGCATGACGTACAGCGGCGGCGCGACGAGCTTGATCTTGATCGGCACCTCCTCGCTGCCTAGCGCGACCCCCTTGAGGAGGGCCCGCTTGATGGCGTTCACGCCCTCGTACTGGAAGCAGGTCACCTCGATGTCGGCGCGCATGCGGATGGCCGTCGGCGTGAGGCGCTTGGCGATGTCCTCGAGCATCATCGCGCGCAGCCGCGGGTCGAGGCCGGGCATGGTCGCCTCGTTGAAGATCGAGTCCGGGTCAGAGATGGCGAGCCGGAAGGCCTCGTAGGCGTGGCCGTACTTTGCGTACAGCGGCCAGGCGGTCTGGCTGTACAGTGACTCCATGTCTGTGCGCGTGGCCTCAGAGACGTGGCGCACGATCGAGTGCACCGCCTTGGAGCGCTGGAAGCGTTCGTCGCATGCGAGGACGTCCTCCGCGGAGACGCGCCGCTTGGAGAGGTCGATGTACCCCTTCTCCTTGTCCACGCGCAGCACCATGCACACCTCCTGCTTCCCCACCCGGATCAGCTTGTTGATTGAGCGGATGCGGCGGCGCGACAGCTCCGAGAGCAGAATCATGCCCTCGATGTTGTCGTACTCCATCAGGGCGACGTACGCGCCCATCTCGGCGATCGACCGCACCTGCACCATCACCAGGTCGTCGATCTCCGGAAACTTGCTCTCGTACATCCGCCCGCCCGCGCCGATGTAGGACCCGCCGCGCTCGCGCCCGTCGTCGAGGACCTCCTCGGGCTCCTCGTCGCTGGCCGACTCGTCATCGTCCGGTTCCCGCGGCATGCTTCGGCGGCCACGGGGAGGCACACGACTGTGAGGCCCTTTCTCGCTCGGCGAGACGCGCGCGCCGGTTAGCAGAGAGGCAGCGAGACGCGAAGACGCGAGAGCTGTCGCAAAAAGTATTCCCTCTTAACCGCCGCTTTCTCGTTCTCCATCCCTGTGTGGTGGCGGCGTGCCGTTCTCCCATCCCTCCCTTGGGTTGTCTGTATTCTTTCTTTCTTTTTCGTTCTCCCATCTCTCCGTTCTTTTTTTCTTTCTTTCTTTCTTCCGGCTTACGCCGGATTTCGCCCGCTCGAGGCGCCCCGCGTCGGCGGTGCGCCTCGGTGCGCTGGTCGGCCATGGCTCGCTCCTTGCTCGGTGCTGCTGACAATCGCGACGTTGGCAAGCGGGTGTCAGTGTGGCTTGGAGACGCCGAACTGCCTCGACGGTTGGTGCGTTCCTGACTCCTCTTTCGTCATGAACGAGCCCTGCCAGTGCAACAGCCGAAAGAGTAGCCAATGGCACGCCAAATGCACCTGCTTTTCCTGCGGCGCCAGCATTTTCCCGTGCTTTTCCTGCTACTCCTGCTTTCGGCAAACCTCCGAGTGCGGCCCTTTCGATGGCGATGGCCGGCCCGGCTGCTATGGCGTGTATCAGCACAAGCAGAAAATGTCGCACGACCTCTGGGGCCAGATACACACCGATGTAAGCGCTCGCCTGACGGCAATTCAGGACGGCAAGACCATCGTGAGTGGTGGCTGTGGCCATGGAGCTGGCAATACCTGCACGTCGAACCACAGGTTGGGCGGTGTTACCAGCGCTACATCGTGGAAAACGAGAGGCGTGAGGCAGCAGAAGCAGAGCGCGTTGAGAGAAACCGCAAAGTCCGGGAGGCAAACGACAGCTTCGAGTTCTTCTTTTTCTCCGTAGCTATGTGCGCCGCGATCGCTTTGATCATCAAGTTTTGCTGCTGAAAGTCTCCTCACTCGTGGACGCGTGGGGTGGGGATGAGGGGTCGCGGCCGTCGCGGGCTGTGCTCCGGTGCTCGTCTCGCTCTACGTATATACCTCCTCCGTCGACCGTGTCAGTGTGTGTCAGTGTGTGTCTGTGCGTGCTTTATCGTGTGTGTCTTATCGTGTGTTATCGGCGCGGCCGGTTCTTGTCTGAATACTGCCAGTGCCAGGCCACACTATGGGTGCGCACTATGGGTGTTTCCCACGCGGCCACACTATGGGTGCGCCGCCGCGGCCCACGCAGCCGGTGCATCCGAGCCGTAGAACGCGACATACTCCGGATATGTGTACAAACGGCCGTCCGTGTCCCGGCGCACGGCCTCCTCGGGATGACAGGTGCCAATCTTGTCGCCGCGATGCCGGTGCACGTGAATCGCGGTTGCGACGCCGCCGAGCTCGCAGAGCGTCTCCTCCTGCCCGCACAGGAAGGCGAGCGTGTAGAGCGACAGCTCGAACGCGGGGGAGGTGCCCACGAAGCCCGTCGACACCGGTTTCAGCGCGCCGTGAAACTCAAAGACCACTGTGAGCAAATGGTCCTTCTCGTACTCGTGGCCGTTGCGGCTACGCCTGCCGCGCGGCCGCTTGAAGCCGTAGTAGTTGAGCACCCCCTCCTTCTCGAAGAAGTACCAAGCGAGCCAAGAGTGCGAGCCGATTACCAGGCTGTTCCCGCCCTCGTCTCGCTTCGTCTCGCCCACAAACACATGCTCAAAGGCGCTGCTGTCGGTGCCGCGCCCTCGCCGCCCCCTCTTGTAGCCGGCGAACCACAGCTCCGACAGCCTCGCCTTGAAATCCGGTCTCGTCCCTCGAAAGACCTCCTTGGCGGTGAGGTAGGCGTACGTGTAGGCCATGCACGGCGTCGCCATCACGTCGTCCAGAAAGGCATCGATCTCGGCCATCTCCTCGTCTGTGTAGACCTCCTCTGCGCCTGGTCGCCAGTCGTAGTTGTCCAGCAACGAGAGGAAGCTCCTGTACACGGGTTGCTCCAGTGTGCTCTGGTCAACCCACTTGAAGAGCGGCCTCGCAGCGCGGTCGTCGTGGTACGTTGTTATTTGCAGGTCGAGCTCGTAGTCCCTTCCGGGACTAAGGCGAAGGACGTCAAGCTCCCAGAGGCGGCCGCACGCAAGCGATAGATCCGACAGCTCCCTCGCGGTCGGTGTGGCGTTGACGCAGGCGGACTGTGCAGCCTCTTTGGAAGGCGTCGCCTCTGCACAGCAAGCTGGAGGACGGCCAGCCCGCCGCCGGCTCTGCGACAAAGCTCGCCGCAGTAAAGCGGGTGCGACAAACGCCCGGCTGGCGACACGCCCGTCGCTGGCACACGCTCTGAGCATCGCTCGGTGTTCCCCACGCGTACGTCCCCTTTTTGATTACAGTGTAGCTCATCTTCACGTACTCTGACGCCAGTGTTTCGAGCGCTTTGGTACACCAGCAGAGCGTAACAGCACCAGTGCCAGTCGTAGAGTCAAGTGATACTACCGGCTGACGACTGTGTAGAAAACAAATGGTCCTGGCTGACCGCGGCTCCTGCGCGGCTCCCGGAGAGATATTGTTTTGTCTCTCGGAGACGCCCGCCCGGACGACGCCGCGTTGCTTAAGGTTCTTCGGGCCAGTTTGGGGGGCAAACCCTGCCCGGCCCCTAGGACCCCAGCCCAGGTGTGGCCTAGGGCATCATCGAAACGTGGCGCTTAGTTTACCCGAGCCCGGTGAATCTCGCAGGTAGTGCGTGCGGCGGCCGGTGCGTGGCTATGTCGGCGGGGAGCAGAGGCGGGGGCGAGCCGGCTCTTGTTCCGACGGCGGCCTCTCGGGAGGAGTGGTCCGACCTGGTCACGCACCTCCTCAGCGAGATACAGGCTATCAATCAGCTCGGCAGGCTGCAGGCGTGCGCGTTCCCCCCCTCCCCTCAACAGCAACGCGTCACAGTGCCCCCTCCCACCCCCGCCTCCCGTTATGCAACGCGCCACAGCGGCGAGACCCTCCATGACAAACCACTTTGACCTGCCAGGCGGACGCACTCGCCCGGACCGAAGCACGAATAACCCGGATGGAGGAGCGTCTGCTCATGCTGGAGAGGACGAGCACGGCGGGGCTTTCGCAGACGGCGCTCGAGCTCAACGCCCTATCCGCCCTCCGCGAGACCGCCACCCTCCGCCACGCAGGCTGCATGCCGCCACCGCCCGTGCCGGCAGCGATGGCAAGGGCATTGCTCCATGGAGGAGCCAGGGGGGTTGGCGTGTCGGTGCCTCCGCCAGCGGCTCGGGCGCTGGTCGACAGTGCCGCGGGCGTAAGTACGTCGATGCCGGCGACGGCGCCCCATGCCGTCGCTAGCTGCGCCGCGAGCCCAGGCTCGATGGCGCCGCAGACCGTCACGAGCGACGGAGCCGGACCCAGCGTGCCAGCATCGGCACCACGCTGCGAGCCAAGGAGAGAGCCGAGCCAAGGGGTGCTGCACATTGGTGCGCGCCTCCCTCATCTGCCGACCCCTTCGGGCGGCCCATCGCCCTTCCTGTGATCCACCCCCCTCTCGCCCTCTCTCGCCCACAGGGGAAACCTCAGAAGCCATTGCCGTGCCGCTCTCCTCCCTCGTCGACGGCCTCGAGCCACTAGGCGCGCGTAGCGGCTTCTTTCGTAGCGGCTCGAAGCGACCCCGCCCCGGTCCTCGATAACGGCCCTGGGAAAGTAGCGCGACCGTCGCTAAGCTCCAGGCTACGCTGGCACCGGGCGCGGCGCTGGTCGCCCGGACGGTCGGCAGACTGGGCACGGGAGCGACCGCGGCGCGACTCTAGGCCGACTGGATTCATTCTGCTTCGTCCGAGGTTCGTGCTTTCTGGCGGCGCGTTATGTGGTGTTGTGACATGCACAGCATTTGCATGTAGGGATCGCTAGGCCTAGCATGTGGCGCGCCGCTCGCGTCGTGCGGTCGTTTGTGGCTCCGGCTCAGGTCGTGGGGCATAGCTCGGGTGTAAACGGGGTCTGGGGAGGAAGCCCCAGCGGCCCGCCGCAGGCGCCGCCGGAGGCTGGCCCGCCGCAGGCGCCGATTTTTTGGCGTTTTTTCTCAAAATTGAGGGATTTCTCATCTAAATTCTCATCCAAAATCGAGCTCGCTACGAGCTCTCTAACTGCACAGCATCTCCTCGTGTTGAGCCTAGCGGCGCCCGTATCGCCCACGCCCACATTCCTTTTTCTTGCCCTTGGCCCTTGCTGCACTCAGCCGCTCAACCTCTGCCCGTCTCTCCTTGCTCGTTGCTGGCGCTGCCGCCCCCAGTACTGCGATTGCAGCTCCTTGGCATGCCGCGCCGCCTCCATCTGCTGTGCTTCCCACGCTGCCGCTTCCTCTAAAGCAGCGCCGCCACTAAGCGGCGCAACCAAGTTCTCGCACTGTTTGCATGAGCATGTGTCCTGCTGGTGCGGCGCACAATCCGCGCGCGGCGAGTGAGAGTAGAAGACTGACAGCAGGAGCTGCAGGAGCTGCAGGAGCTGCGCAGATCGGATGGGTGGTGACGCCGTCGAGCGACGGCGCAAAGACCAATCACCACCGCTGAGAGCCGCGACACGAGGCTGCTGGCAGCTGCACCTGTGAGAGCCGCGACACGAGGCTGCTGGCAGCTGGCAGAGCGAATCGCGATTCCGGCGGCCGCCGTCAGCCCGCCGACACCGACGGCCTGTCTGAGGTCAAACTCCCACCGCACGTCGGACCAGTCGTGCGTCAGCCATGGCGACGAGACGTCTGTATGCAGACAGCCCGCCACCCGGGCGATAGAACATGCCAGCTGGGCTCTTCCAGGGCTCTCGTGGCCCGTGGCGCGTGCCCAGTGGAATAGGGCGGGCTGCGGCGGGCGCAATAACTATTCACAGCTAATGAAAACTATAAAAACTCGCGGCTTCATCAAAGTTTGAGGTGGCTTCGTCCTCAGCACCATCAAGACAGCTCTATTCACACCCTGTTTGGTTTGAAGCCACTCGGGGATGCCCGTTTACACCCAACCGACGAGTCGCTGGGCCCTCTGACCTGAGCCGGAGCCTGTACACCATTCTTCCATTGCACAAAAGCACGCATGACACTTCATGACTCAACAGACAACACGAACGACGTGCACGTATTAAATAATTTAATAGGGTATTACGTTACACGGCTTTTTCACCCAGAGGTGGGAGTGGAGACATTTTCACCTTTTACCTTACCTTACCATTCCCCACATGCGGAAACGTTGGCCTCCGCGCCAATATCTACCGGGGCAGGGCGGCTCGGAGGGTGGCC